CCTGAGTGGTGACTGTATGTACTGAAATATATCTCATCAGTCTGTATGTCCTAAGTGGTGACTGTTAGTACTGACATACACCTCTTCAGTCTGTTTGTCCTGAGTGGTGACTCCAAGTACTGAAGTACACCTCAGTCTGTGTGTGTCGTGAGTGGTGACTGTAAGTACTGAAGTACATTTCATCAGTTTATGTGTGTCCTGAGTGGTGACTGTAAGTACTGAAGTACATCTCAGTCTGTGTGTCCTGAGTGGTGACTGTAAGTACTGAAGTACACCTCATCAGTTTGTGTGTCTTGAGTGGTGACTGTAAGTACTGAAGTTTGCCACATCAGTCTGTGTGTTCTGAGTGGTGACTTTGAGTACAGAAGTACACCTCATCAGTCTGTGTGTCCTGAGTGGTGACTGTAAGTACTGAAGTACATTTCATCAGTTTGTGTGTGTCCTGAGTGGTGACTGTAAGTACAGAAGTACACCTCATCAGTCTGTGTGTCCTGAGTGGTGACTGTATGTACTGAAATATATCTCATCAGTCTGTATGTCCTAAGTGGTGACTGTTAGTACTGACGTACACCTCTTCAGTCTGTTTGTCCTGAGTGGTGACTCCAAGTACTGAAGTACACCTCAGTCTGTGTGTGTCGTGAGTGGTGACTGTAAGTACTGAAGTACATTTCATCAGTTTGTGTGTGTCCTGAGTGGTGACTGTAAGTACTGAAGTACATCTCAGTCTGTATGTCCTGAGTGGTGACTGTAAGTACTTAGGTACATCTCATCAGTTTGTGTGTCCTGAGGGGTGACTAAGTATTGAAGTATGCCACATCAGTCTGTGTGTTCTGACTGGTGACTGTAAGTACTGAAGTATATCTCATCAGTCTGTGTGTCCTGAGTGGTGACTGTAAGTACTGAAGTATGCCACATCAGTCTGTGTGTTCTGAGTGGTGACTGTGAGTACAGAAGTACACCTCATCAATCTGTGTGTCCTGAGTGGTGACTGTAAGTTCTGAAGTACACCTCATCAGTGTGTGTGTCCTGAGTGGTGAATGTATGTACTGAATTACATCTCATCAGTGTGTGTGTCCTGAGTGGTGACAGTAAGTACTGACGTACACCTCATCAGTCTGTGTGTCCTGAGTGGTGACTGTAAGTTCTGAAGTACACCTCATCAGTGTGTGTGTCCTGAGTGGTGAATGTATGTACTGAATTACATCTCATCAGTGTGCGTGTCCTGAGTGGTGACAGTAAGTACTGACGTACACCTCATCAGTCTGTCTGTCCTGAGTGATGACTGTAAGTACAGAAGTACACCTCATCAGTCTGTGTGTCCTGAGTGGTGACTGTAAGTACAGAAGTACACCTCATCAGTCTGTGTGTCCTGAGTGGTGACTGTAAGTACAGAAGTACACCTATGTTTTTTGTCATGAGTGATGTTCCTTATCTGATAATCGAAAAAATGGCTAGCACACAAAGTGATTGAATCCTGAGACAATGACAGTTAAATCATTAATTTTTATCAAAGTATTGTTAGACATTGACATTGTTTTTATACAAATTTACCCCTTTTTTAATTATCATATGGAGAAGCAATGCATTTTTTTTCATTATTTTTTAATATTGATCAGTTAAAGATAAAATGATACTTATTTGATAATTTATGTGCTAAGTGTGAATCTTTAAATAGGTGTACAATGTCTAAAGTCAAGAATTCTACAATACATATGTAGATGTAGTACAAAAATGCTCTACATGCATGGCCAATAGAATTTCAGTCCAGTATATGATATCTGATAGATCAGTACACTGACCAGCTGACTTTAGGGTCCCTGATCCCTCAGGTGGTCCCTTTGTTGTCACTAGTCTAGTTCTCATTTATCTTACAGTGTATAATAAGTATTTAGACGTAACATAGATTAAATTAGTCTTTAAGTTTTAAACATCTGAACATATATTGGTGTTACTTTGTTATGTATTGTAACATGTTTTTAGAAAAAGACATTTCAGTGGTCTTTGAAATAGTGATACTGTTGTTGTGGAGTTTTCTGAAACAATAAGGTTGTCTACATTGAGTGATTCATAAACATATGTGATATATATTTCACTTTCACAGTGTTATTGCTGTAAAGAATTTCATAGCTGACCTTTTTTGATATATTAACTTATCCATTTTTGAAAACATTTATACTTGGATTACACAATTTTTCTGTAGTCAAGGGGCACACTTGTGACATTTGCCTTGTTATTTGGTTTCCGCCCATCAGTTACAACAACTTCATGGTTGGTAGCTGAGACATAGTCACCTGAGACATAGTTTCATGGTGACCTTTGGCAATGGCCTCTTGTTTGGCATTGTGCCACGTGCATCTGTGTCCATAAAATTTTATTTTATATGGAATCTAGTGTTATACAGTTCTGATAGTGAATTTATTGCTTCTTAGTTTAGTAAAGAAACTATGTAATGCTTATGTATACATACATTTGAATGCTTCATCATACACTTTAACATCAAATCTACATATTTGAACAGATTTTCTCATCTGTATTCAATGATGATGTGCCAATAAAAGATGGTTGCATGTGCACCCTGGCAGTCAACAAATTTTTTATACACCCATCAAAAATTTCAGGATGAGATGCTATAAGGTATGGAGTTGTGTAGCTTTAAATCCACTTGTTGGTCCATTTGTCTACATGATGGTATTATTAGGAGATTAAAGGAATTAGATTTGTTCTCTCTTCATGCATTATTGTTATTGTTATTGCAACCTTCACGACCCTTCAACACATAAAAGGTCATTAGGGGCATCATGTTAGTCCATATCAGTATGTTTATACATCCAAATTTCAATAAGAGGTATGAAGGTATGGTATTGTTATTCCAATCCATCTGTCTGTCCATCTCTTCCATTTTACACTTTACAGCTATGATATGAAATTGCTTTTTTAAGCTCCCCAAAAATTTTTCGAATGTCATTCCTGTCTGGAACATAACTTTGCCCAAATTTAAGCAAGGATCATGAAACTTGGTGTTTACATTGGTCAAACTAAGGGGATGTACATTTTACCAAATTCAGAGCCCTCAATCCCTCAGTTACAGAGTTATTTCCCTTTGTTAAAATTAAATGTCTTGAGCATTACTTGCATTTACTCAGGGATATTGAAATATGATGTGTGCAAGATGTGCAGTGGAGCAAAGTCCAAGCATATGACACCTCAGTATAGAGTTATTGTCGTTTGTTAAAATTTTGTCATGAGCATAGCTGTGCTTACATTAAAACTAGGATCAGGAAACTTGGTAGAAGCTTAATATTGATCATATTAACTTTGAGGGTTTGTAGCAGTGACATGAATTTGTGTTTTCCTGAATGGCATATTTGATTAAATGGTTTTAGGGTTATTGTTTAATTTTATCATTTTAATCTTGTCCAGAGATGTTTTCTCTCAGATTTCAACAAATATTTTTAAAGCTTTAGTAGGCCTTATCTTCATCACATATATCATGTATATCTATTAATGTGTATTGACTCAATAAGTTTTGAAAGAGTTACTGCCCTTTGTCTGTAGATCCTCACCATTCATCTTCAAAAAAATTCTTTCATTGTTGCTGTGACATGAAACTGTGCTTTCTCAGTGGATTTTTTATTATCGAACATTTTTTAATTTCCATCTTTGTATTCATTTCCAAGCAATCATACAGTTATCTTTAGCAGATAATGGGTGTCTTATTGTTTTAGCTGCCCTGTGGTTTACTACATGACATCAATCAAATTTTAGATACAAAGGAAAATTTAAGCACTAGGTTATAGCAGACAAAAAGATTTCACGATGTTAACATCATGGTCAATTCCAATTCATATTTAAGAAAGAAAATTATACAGTATTTTATTTTTACTGTATTTATGTGAGTTCTTATTAGTAAAGCCAACATTTGGACAGGTAAAGTATCATATACATATGAATATAGAACTGATGACTGTGGTTAAGGAGACTGCATGTAGAAGGTGAAAGGATGGAAAAAACTATAAAAGCATAAGTGTAAAGTATTGATTGAGCTGTGTCAGCTGTTTACCGTACTGTAAAGGAGCCATCGATTACAGCTGATCTGGAAGCTATAGAAATATTGATATCCCTATGGATTGTAGTTCCGTTATTGTGCTCTGATCAGCCTCTGCTTTAGCCTTGCTGAAACCTTAGCTACAACATGACAGGCCTCTGTATGAATTTACATTCTATATCCTGTTGAAAAAGGCTGTAATTTCTAATGAGTTTAAATGTTGGTGATAATGTTCTATTTCTACAAGCAGGGTGGAAAATAGCGACATCTGTAATCATTGAGTATGGTAGGTTTTTTTTACAGGTAGAACATTTTACTTTAAAGAGGTAGGAGAATAAGCCTTTGAATATTTATAAGCTGTCATTATAATTGATCAGTCAATAAAATCGTGTTGTAGATATATCAGCCTTTCAATGCATGTCAGGATGTAAAATAGCATTGTCACTTGGATTTACTGGTGTGTTAGCATGTTGCTAAGTGAGTGAAACTAGACCCATATTTTATTCTCTTTCATCATCTATTGTGTTCAGTGGATTTGTGTTTGTTCCTTTGAGGAAATTTAGGATTGAATTATTCAGTTTGAACAATTTTGACTTTGTTTGAAATGGTACAAAAAGAAAAGAATTTCAAAAATTTTTCGTTTTCGTATTGTGTTGTACAAAATTCAATCTTAATTTTCAATGACATGACAGTTAATGTGACCAAGGTTGTCACTAGAACAATCACGGGACTTCATCACTTGTTTGTCACTGAAACCCTAGAACATCAGGGTTCAAAATTGACTCCACGAACATGTAGTGATAGGGATTGGGAGAATTTACTGACACTAAGTAGGGTCACTTATCACTGTATCATGGACTGGAGATGCCAAACACAATTGTGTTCTGGGAATATTCAGATCTTAACAAAGAATTGACTTAGACAATCAGGTGTTAAATTGTCATTCATAGTGATCATGTTACCACCCTTACAATGCTCTGTGGCTTTACAATGTGCTGTGTCCAAAAACAGGAAAGTTACATTGCACAGAGTCAAGGTCGACCCCAGTGACAATGACAAGTTCATTAATGCTGTGGACCAGGCTAAGGTTAAATCTTTCTTAGATCGTCTAAAGGTCCAACGGAGAAACACTTTTGCTGGTTTTGTCACAGCAAGAATGACCTCATCCTCAGGTAACAAAATTATATTTGATCTAAAGTCTGTGTCAAAATGGTTTTGAATAAGATGACTTCAAGTTATTTATCTTCAGAGAATATCAGTAAGATGAAAACATCAGAATACAAGTTGATGTAGTATGTGATGTTTTTCCATTTTTGACAGATCCAGGTGAGATAGAAAAACCTTTTGCCACAGGGTCAGCCCCCGGCTTTATCCCTGCTTCAGCTCCATCTGAAAACTCACCGCTCAAGGAAGATCTACAGTCAAGGTCAATCAAGAAAGTTGGTGGCAAGAAGTCTCCAGGAGCCAAGCAATCTAAGCTTCCATCATGCAGTCTTCCAAACAACATGCAGCCAACATTTTTCATAGGAGGAGGAAATGGTGTCTCTCTGTAAGTTACTGGGGACAAAGGGAAAGGTATCTCTGTAAGTTACTGGGGACAAAGGGAAAGGTATCTCTGTAAGTTACTGGGGACAAAGGGAAAGGTATCTCTGTAAGTTACTGGGGACAAAGGGAAAGGTATCTCTGTAAGTTACTGGGGACAAAGGGAAAGGTATCTCTGTAAGTTACTGGGGACAAAGGGAAAGGTATCTCTCTGTAAGTTACTGGAGACAAAGGGAAAGGTATTTCTCTGTAAGTTACTGGAGACAAAGGGAAAGGTATTTCTCTGTAAGTTACTGGGGACAAAGGGAAAGGTATCTCTGTAAGTTACTGGGAACAAAGGGAAAGGTATCTCTGTAAGTTACTGGGGACAAAGGGAAAGGTATCTCTGTAAGTTACTGGGAACAAAGGGAAAGGTATCTCTGTAAGTTACTGGGGACAAAGGGAAAGGTATCTATCTGTAAGTTACTGGGGACAAAGGGAAAGGTATCTCTCTGTAAGTTACTGGGGACAAAGGGAAAGGTATCTCTGTAAGTTACTGGGGACAAAGGGAAAGGTATCTCTCTGTAAGTTACTGGAGACAAAGGGAAAGGTATTTCTCTGTAAGTTACTGGAGACAAAGGGAAAGGTATTTCTCTGTAAGTTACTGGAGACAAAGGGAAAGGTATTTCTCTGTAAGTTACTGGAGACAAAGGGAAAGGTATTTCTCTGTAAGTTACTGGAGACAAAGGGAAAGGTATCTCTCTGTAAGTTACTGGAGACAAAGGGAAAGGTATCTCTGTAAATTACTGGGGACAAAGGGAAAGGTATCTCTGTAAGTTACTGGGGACAAAGGGAAAGGTATCTCTCTGTAAGTTACTGGAGACAAAGGGAAAGGTATCTCTGTAAATTACTGGGGACAAAGGGAAAGGTATCTCTGTAAGTTACTGGAGACAAAGGGAAAGGTATTTCTCTGTAAGTTACTGGGGACAAAGGGAAAGGTATCTCTGTAAGTTACTGGGGACAAAGGGAAAGGTATCTCTCTGTAAGTTACTGGAGACAAAGGGAAAGGTATCTCTGTAAATTACTGGGGACAAAGGGAAAGGTATCTCTCTGTAAGTTACTGGAGACAAAGGGAAAGGTATCTCTCTGTAAGTTACTGGGGACAAAGGGAAAGGTATCTCTGTAAGTTACTGGGGACAAAGGGAAAGGTATCTCTCTGTAAGTTACTGGAGACAAAGGGAAAGGTATCTCTGTAAATTACTGGGGACAAAGGGAAAGGTATCTCTGTAAGTTACTGGGGACAAAGGGAAAGGTATCTCTAAGTAAGTTACTGGAGACAAAGGGAAAGGTATTTCTCTGTAAGTTACTGGAGACAAAGGGAAAGGTATTTCTCTGTAAGTTACTGGAGACAAAGGGAAAGGTATTTCTCTGTAAGTTACTGGAGACAAAGGGAAAGGTATTTCTCTGTAAGTTACTGGAGACAAAGGGAAAGGTATTTCTCTGTAAGTTACTGGAGACAAAGGGAAAGGTATTTCTCTGTAAGTTACTGGAGACAAAGGGAAAGGTATTTCTCTGTAAGTTACTGGAGACAAAGGGAAAGGTATTTCTCTGTAAGTTACTGGAGACAAAGGGAAAGGTATTTCTCTGTAAGTTACTGGAGACAAAGGGAAAGGTATCTCTGTAAATTACTGGGGACAAAGGGAAAGGTATCTCTGTTAGTTACTGGGGATACACAATCTCAAATAGATTTAAACTGCCAAATCATGATATCAGTTTATTAAGCTTCAGTCTGTTATAGGATAACATTGTTTATAAGAGCTGTACATTATCAATAAGTTACATTTACACATTAAATTAGAACTACACACAAATACAGTTACACATTATATTAGAACTACACACAAATACAGTTACACATTAAACTAGAACTACACACAATTACATTTACACATTAAATTAGAACTACACACAATTGCATTTACACATTAAACTAGAACTACACACAATTACATTTACACATTAAATTAGAACTACACACAATTACATTTACACATTAAACTAGAACTACACACAATTACATTTACACATTGAATTAGAACTACACACAATTACATTTACACATTGAATTAGAACTACACACAATTACATTTACACATTAAATTAGAACTACACACAATTACATTTACACATTAAATTAGAACCACACACTAATACAGTTACACATTAAATTAGAACTACACACAAATACAGTTACACATTCAATTAGAACTACACACAATTACATTTACACATTAAATTAGAACTACACACAATTACATTTACACATTAAATTAGAACTACACACAATTACATTTACACATTGAATTAGAACTACACACAATTACATTTACACATTCAATTAGAACTACACACAAATACAGTTACACATTCAATTAGAACTACACACAATTACATTTACACATTAAATTAGAACTACACACAATTACATTTACACATTAAATTAGAACTACACACAAATACAGTTACACATTCAATTAGAACTACACACAATTACATTTACACATTAAATTAGAACTACACACAAATACACTTACACATTCAATTAGAACTACACACAATTACATTTACACATTAAATTAGAACTACACACAAATACAGTTACACATTAAATTAGCACTACACACAATTACAGTTAGACACACTATCAATTATAGCTACACACTATGAATTACAGTTACGCACTATGAATTACAGTTACACACTATCAATTACAGTTACACACTATCAATTACAGCTACACATTATCAAGCACAGCTACACACTATCAAGTACAGCTACTATGAACAACAGCTACACACCATGAATTACAGCTACACACTATCAATTACAGTTATGCACTATGAATTACAGCTACACACAATTACAGGTAAATACTATCAATGAGAGCCATAGAACAACACACTATCAGCTGAAACAACAATTTCAATCAGAGCTACACATTCACAGTTAGAGTTACATACAATTACAGCTACACACTTTGAAGGAGAACTACACACTATTATTTACATCAGCACACTATTGATAGAGCTACAACAGTATGTACCAATAGCAGATACTTTATATGCTCTCTATCAGATTAATATGCACAAGTTTACTCAGCAGAAACACATTGTAATATATGTACAATACATTTGGATACCGATTGAAAGTTAATAATGCATTGTATCACTTAAACATGACATATATATACCCTATAGATTAGAGTTAATGAGATAATGACTCTATATCAACATGGTATATTGATCAACAATAAGTTGGTGTATTTTGTAGTCCAAAAATCCACAATCAATAAAGAAGGGTCTGGTGATCATTGATATGTATTTTACTTAGAGTCTGACACATCTGTTCGACTACCTGTTTTTTTTTCATTAATCAATGGTTTACCTGTGACACCACTAGTGTATGATAGCAGTGCACTTAATGGCATTTATTCGTCCCTAACTTATTTATGGTATTGACATATTTATGATTCTTCTGACAGGAAGGTGGTAACATGTCTTGAATAGATAGTAAATATGCACTTTATTCATTTTCAATTACCTATATATTTATTTGTCTGCAGAAAATTACATTTCCTTTTTAACTATAATGATCAGGTAGCTTATATAAAGATACTGCATTAACAGACTCAGATGAGTTCTCAAGTGAGATATATCTGGTATCTACTTAGGAGTATATTGAGTATCATATGTACGTACTTTTTAATAATAGATGGTTTTCGTATGACGTTTTCTAGGGTAGAAGGGGCCCTGACGGCAATGGGATGGAAGAGAACAATGGACAAATATGATGAACGCTTCAAACTTAAGTGGACAGAATGTAAGACGAGGATCAACTATGGTTCCTACAAAGAAGGTACGTATTTTAGATCAAAAGACACAATGGGCCTGTATCACTTACCTACTTTGCAGCTAAAAGCAGAAAAATTGCATTTATTCTACCATCTTTCATTTTTATCATCACACTTCTTACCTACAAGACATATACTTCTTACCTACAAGACATATACTTCTTATCAACAAAACATATACTTCTTATCTACAAAACATATACTTCTTACCTACAAGACATATACTTCTTATCTACAAAACATGTACTTCTTATCTACAAAACATATACTTCTTACCGACAAGACATATACTTATCTACAAAACATGTACTTCTTCTCTACAAAACATATACTCCTTATCTACAAAACATATACTTCTTACCTACAAAACATATACTCCTTATCTACAAGACATATACTTCTTATCTACAAAACATATACTTCTTATCTACAAAACATATACTTCTTATCTACAAAACATATACTTCTTATCAACAAAACATATACTTCTTATCTACAAAACATATACTTCTGATCAACAAAACATATACTTCTTATCAACAAAACATATACTTCTTATCTACAAAACATTATCTACAAAACATATACTTCTTATCTACAAAACATATACTTCTTATCAACAAAACATATACTTCTTATCTACAAAACATATACTTCTTATCTACAAAACATATACTTCTTATCAACAAAACATATACTTCTTATCTACAAAACATATACTTCTTATCAACAAAACATATACTTCTGATCAACAAAACATATACTTCTTATCTACAAAACATATACTTCTTATCTACAAAACATATACTTCTTATCAACAAAACATATACTTCTTATCTACAAAACATATACTTCTTATCAACAAAACATATACTTCTTATCTACAAAACATGTACTTCTTATCAACAAAACATATACTTCTTATCTACAAAACATATACTTCTTATCTACAAAACATATACTTCTTATCTACAAAACATATACTTCTTATCTTCAAAACATATACTCCTTATCTACAAAACATATACTTCTTATCTACAAAACATATACTTCTTATCAACAAAACATATACTTCTTATCTACAAAACATATACTTCTTATCTACAAAACATATACTCCTTATCTACAAAACATATACTTCTTATCTACAAAACATATACTTCTTATCTTCAAAACACTCCTTATCTACAAAACATATACTTCTTATCTACAAAACATATACTTCTTATCTACAAAACATATACTTCTTATCAACAAAACATATACTTCTTATCTACAAAACATATACTTCTTATCTACAAAACATATACTCCTTATCTACATAAAAAGGTTACAGGTGAACTAATAAAGGAGCTTTTCATTATTAACAAGAGGCCATTCGAAGAGTTTAACACATTTGACCTTTGTGAGGTCATTCATTACAAAAAAACTTGGTAGACCTTCATCCAAACATGTTATAGGCCCAATGAGAATTAATGAGAGTTAATGAGAAAAAGTTGTTTAAAGATTATGAGACCTTTGACACCTGTGACCTTGAACTTCATCATTGTTACTTATTTGAATGGAAATGGTAGCCCTTCACAGCAAGATGGTCCTAATATCATGGCCTAGTTCTTCTTGGATATTACAAAAAATGTTTAAAATCTATTGTACATTTTACTGCTGTGACCTTGTTAGTTGGTCAAGGCCATTCATATGAGCAAAGTGGTAGCCTATCATCTAAGTGATGCATGCTCCAGGCCTAAGGTTGATATTATAACTCTGGGCTTATTGTAAAAAATTGAAAGATTTTATCATATTTGATGTCTGTGTTATTGAATGTGGATCGAGGCCATTATATTATGACTAACAGGATAAAGCATAACACGATAAAGCATAACACGATAAAGAGCTACTTTACAACTTATATCATTGATGAAGGAGTGACGTAATGATTTTATTTGGCTTCATGATCAGCAACTGAAAGTCAGAAATCATATCTGTATGCTATTTTTAAAAATGTTTTTTTGGTCTGCTTGAATTAAGCTTTGGATGTCCAGAATATAGTTTGTGTATAACATATCAATGGCTCGATAATAATTACAACTGTCTATGAATTGAAGACGAAAAAAGAATCATCATTTGATAATTAAGGGACTAGTAGAGGATAATATCATTACTTGATGATTAAGGGACTAGTAGAGGATAATATCATTACTTGATGATTAAGGGACTAGTAGAGGATAATATCATTACTTGATGATTAAGGGACTAGTAGAGGATAATACCGTAGATAACTCTAAAATCCTCCTGTGTATATATAATGACAGCTGGAAAATTATATTAGAATTATCAAAAGTAATGACTGATATACACTACAACATAATGTGCTTTGTTGATTCTAGCCTCTCGGCATGAAAGCCATTGAGAGAATTATGGTAACATGTATCGTTTTTGATAGGAGACCAGATGGTGAACCACATTCCTAATGGAAACCTCCTTACCAATAAACTTGGCCTACTTAACAGTCTACAGGAATATGAACGGGTGACCCTCAGTACCAAGGGGAGACCACCACGATTACGATTCTCAGATTTTGTCCCAGAGACTTATAGACTAGATGAAGCAAAAGATAAAGAAGAATTTCTGAAAATTTATCAAGGTAAAATATAATTGTAGCCTTGTGAATGATTTATTAAGGAATGTCCATTAATATGTAATATTTATAAATATTATCTTGTGTGTGGTAACACAACATTGTCAGTTCAAACTATGGAATAAGATATGAGCCAGTGTCATTAACAAAGAAAATATGTAACCAAATTGTTTGACGTGAAAGTAAAGTCATTTCTGTTTTTAATTGATTAAGTCTCCAATGCATACAAATATCTTGAGCAACATGAGCAAACCATTTAGATATTTATTATATGTTCCAATTTCCCCCAGCTTTGATTTTTTCTATTAACAACACAATTATAAAGTTCATTTTTGCTTGGAACAATAAGACAAAATAAGAATCAATAAGAGCTACTGTCATCATTATCAGAAAGATATAATGTATCACAAATTAATATTAAAAGTATTGACATATAGTTGTTACTGGAATGTTTCAGAGGGAGAGATGTGGATATGTAAACCGACAGGACTGAACCAAGGCAAAGGAATATTTATTATCCGTTCCTACGAGGAAATTATCAAACTTCTGGAGGAAAGGGTACATAAAAAGGAACAGGCACAAAAAGGCACAAAACCACTCATGACGAGAGTCGTACAAAGGTCAGCACCAAAAAAGGTCAAACCAATTTTAATGGCATAGCAGTTAGGAGATGACCACGTCTGAGATGATGTAGAGGTCAAAAATGTTTGGAAAGTTCATGTAAATTTCAACCAGTATTAATCAGTAGCTTATTTTATCAATGTAATGGTGTTCCCAGAACATTTTCCATTACCTTAATTTATTTCAACCTCTTTCATTTCATCATAATGCATTGTTTGTGTTTTTTCACTTAGAAAGAACTAAAAATCCTAGTTTCAAGTTTAGAGTACTTATAACTGAATTTTCATCTCTTGGTGACAAAGTTACTGATCAGATGTTTATCCTTCAGGTATATCACCAACCCATTGCTGCTGGATGGACGCAAATTTGATATCCGTGCCTACATGTTAATTGGAAGTACTGTCCCTTTCCTTGTCCTCTATCACAAGGGATATGTCCGCCTCTGTTGCACAAAATACGACACAAATGACACAAGTCTTATGACACACCTCACCAATCAGGTAACACCTTACAAATCATCCAATGATGTCAAGTATTCAATAATTTCAGTTATTATTCTGACAAATTTTTAAAATGTGGGATTTTTTCTAATTTTTTTTTATTTAAATGTATCACATATACAACCAATGATACTGACATATTGCACCATCATGTTTTACCATTTTTGAAAGGAAAGCATTCAATAATAGGAACAAAAGTGGGGAATATCCCTGAGAACCAACTTGAAATAGGTATAAGCTGAAGTGTGTCCTCGAGGTTCCAGGAGGACCTTCATTCAATAATAGGTGTAAAGTGTCTGTAGATATTAAAATATTTTGCAGTTAATATTTTTTTCACAAAATAGCTAATAGAGCACAGTACTGAAGTTGACAATGAAAAAAAATGAGATGACTGTGGTCTATATGGACCTTTAAGTATCCTGTTGTAATTATTAGACAAAACAGAAATGGATTACTGACGACATGAATTAAGAAAAACAGCAAAATACTAGATATTATAACTGTGTTGTAAAATATGTTCTTCTTTTATTGTAATATTTTCTTTCATCAGTAAGTGTGAAAAATATTATCAACAGGCCTCTCGCTGCTATTGAAGTCATTTGTTTCTTTATACCAGCAACTTACAGTTGAAACTCATCTCTAAATTGCTTGAGTCAAAATAATTTTCAAATCTTGTTTTTTTTTCCTTTTTTATCTTTGTAATTTTGGTTGGGATGGCATTGAGTTGAAATTTAAGTTGAATTGAAACAATTTTTTAGTCCCTTCAATTGTAAAGCAAAGAAAAAGTCAATCGTTGTCTTGAAATTACTTAAATAATTAATTGATTGAAATTAAACATTGGCACATCTTCTGACAAGTCGGTCAATACAATGAAGCACTGAAAGTATTTTTCAGTCATAGAGTCTATATCTATGATTTGAGAAGTCTAGTGCTTGTGAATTGTTTTCTGTAACAGGTAAACACTTTCCAGTGCTGTGTTTTACATATATTTATTTATTCATTATAAAGTCATACTGATATGATCTGTAGCTTCAAACAACATTTCTAGTAGCGTATCAAAAGCAAATTTTGATTTTGTTTTATTGTCATTCCGTAAAATAGATAATGTATACGTGCTTGGTCAGTAATGCTACAATTCAACAGGTGATAAGACTTATTCTGAAAAGGAGACTTAATCTGAAATTCACTCATTTTACAGTCATATGGAATATCTTAGAAGATACAACTGAAACTGTTTGCCTTGCAGCATGAATAAATACCTAAGAAATGTTTCTATTTTTACTTTGACCTAATCCCATTTTATCTTGGTTCTGATAGTTTGTACAGAAGAAAGATCCCAATTACAAAGAAAATAAAGAAGACACTGCCTGGTCAATGGATAAATTTAATGATTACGTCAATCAGCATATACAACCCAAATCAAATATAGAGCTTGATTGGGTCTATAATACCTTAACAGTAAGTACATCACCTAATATCATTATCATCAATTTCAGTTACCTTTGATGATAAAACATAGTCCTGCAAAATGACATAAACCTACATTATGCCTTTTGTTTAAGGTCAATAATACCACACCTTGGCAAATTTTCTACAGCAGAGAGTTGAATTGTTCTTTAACACTCAATATTATGTACTTTATGAAGACTTCAGTATCTCTGTCAGATCATGTTTTATGTCTAGCTGTTCATATAGGATATATGAACAAAGATATGTCCACACCACCTGGCTGACAATAATTAAGGAGCTTATAGATGATATCAGATAGAGATGAGTGTATGTAAATGTTATCATGTAGTCTGTAGGATGAAACCAATGATTAGAGATCACCGTTTTGTAGAAACAAATGCAGAAGATAATGATCCACTGCTTCAATAGTGTAAAACACAAGCTTCAGACCAGGATGGGGTACTTTGACCTATTTGGACTGGACTTTATGGTTGACCAAGACATGAAGGTAAGGGACCGATTTAATGTATACGCACCAAGGTCAAAATTTCTCCTGATTGAAGATCAGAAGGTGGGATTTGTAATGATGCGGTCTGTTAGTCACTCTCTCCATGCTCATCACAATTTTCAGACAATAAAGCAAGTTCAAGTGGATTGATCATACTTGAATCTCTCACACTGCTTTATCAGGAATGCTTACTTTGAATTGCTTTATTGGGTCAAACGGTCAAACATCCAGGTTACTGTTACTATATATAGAAAGTTGGTTTCTGATCAATAACTGAATTTTCTTTGAATTGCTTTATTGGGTCAAAAGGTCAAACATCCAGGTTACTGTTACTATATATAGAAAGTTGGTTTCTTATCAATAACTGAATTTTCTTTGAATTGAATATACTCAATCCTGAAAAACTACTTCCCTACATGCATGACTCTCTTCATGTCGTTTTTCATTATGATGGTCACTGATAAGTAGAAAATTTGCTTCTGCACAACAATTTTCAGTTTCCTTAGATCTATCAAACTTGCACACTGCACTCTTTAACCATTTATAATTCTTGTTATCTTTGGATTACTTTTCAAACTAAAATGTAGATCACATTCCCTTTTACTATGAATAAAAAAATATTTTGACACAATAACTTGGGTACTCCTAGATCACTGGTCCCTGGGCAATTATAACCTGTCAGGGAGATAATTATAGTGCCACCTTGTCCATCCATTCGTCCGTCCTTCATAATTTTGTCTGTCCTTCATAATTTTGTCCAAAGCATAATACAAAAACTATAAGATGTATCAACATAAAACTTTAAAGGCCCTTTGTTATTTTTCATACTTAAATTTTTTCACATTCATGGAGCAACACCCGTCTCTGACAGCCCTGTTTTTTTTTATCTAATGAAGTTCTTCATTAAAAGAAATATTTTCATATTCAACACATTTGTGAAGCTTATCTGATTGATGATACACTGAGCGTGTTATCTGTTTGTCAAAACAGAAACAATATTAGGCCTGGAGTGTACTTATTAATGAACTGTGAATGATTATTGTAGGTATGGCTGATTGAAGTGAATGTAAACCCAGCCCTTCATTGTAACTGTTCCGCTCTGAAGGAAGTCATACCAGCAGTTGTAGAGGAGACACTACGTAAGTGTACACATTTCTTTCCACTAATTTCTCAGATACTTTTGACATTGTGTGTTATTGAAAAGAAAATAACATGAAAAATTGTTCTGTAGATTGTAATTGTAATGAAAATATTTGTATATTGTACCAGTGGATAAAAATCTGTGTATATTGTACCAGTGGATAAAAATCTGTGTATATTGTACCAGTGGATACAAATCTGTGTATATTGTACCAGTGGATAAAAATCTGTGTATATTGTACCAGTGGATACAAATCTGTGTATATTGTACCAGTGGATAAAAATCTGTGTATATTGTACCAGTGGATAAAAATCTGTGTATATTGTACCAGTGGATACAAATCTGTGTATATTGTACCAGTGGATAAAAATCTGTGTATATTGTACCAGTGTATAAAAATCTGTGTATATTGTACCAGTGGATAAAAATCTGTGTATATTGTACCAGTGGATACAAATCTGTGTATATTGTACCAGTGGATAAAAATCTGTGTATATTGTACCAGTGGATAAAAATCTGTGTATATTGTACCAGTGTATAAAAATCTGTGTATATTGTACCAGTGTATAAAAAGTGTATAAAACTCTGTGTATATTGTACCAGTGTATAAAAATTGTACCAGTGGATAAAAATCTGTGTATATTGTACCAGTGTATAAAAATCTGTGTATATTGTACCAGTGGATAAAAATCTGTGTATATTGTACCAGTGTATAAAAATCTGTGTATATTGTACCAGTGGATACAAATCTGTGTATATTGTACCAGTGGATACAAATCTGTGTATATTGTACCAGTGGATACAAATCTGTGTATATTGTACCAGTGGATAAAAATCTGTGTATATTGTACCAGTGGATAAAAATCTGTGTATATTGTACCAGTGGATAAAAATCTGTGTATATTGTACCAGTGGATAAAAATCTGTGTATATTGTACCAGTGGATAAAAATCTGTGTATTGTACCAGTGGATAAAAATCTGTGTATATTGTACCTGTGTATAGTGGATAAAAATCTGTGTATATTGTACCAGTGGATAAAAATCTGTGTATATTGTACCAGTTGATAAAAATCTGTGTATATTGTACCAGTGTATAAAAGTGTTACTTGTCTGACATTCACATAACTGTAAAATCATATATTTTCATGAAGCCCAGATATCGTGGTTTTCCAAAAACATACATTTTTAGTGGCACTACATATTATGTATAGTGAATCATGCCAACATTCACCTGTGTATCATATAAGTTGGAGGATTCAGAGTACCCATGGATAAAAACAAAAATAAAGCCCTCTAAAATTGGATTTCACTCAAAAATAAGAGGATCAATCAGTAAAACTTTGGCATACTTTGTTGATATGCATATATTTCCATTTTCAGTGTGTATTCTCTAGCCTAATACCAGAAAAATTGGTAAAACAGTCCACTGTTGTGTTTTAATTTTGTGAATTTATTTTGTTTAGACTAAAATTTTCAAAACTATATGTGTATTGAAATGTAGATATTTAAAACTTTTCACAAAAAGGTACTAAAAAGATTGTTATTGTAGAATTATTTTCTCTTTATTTTGCAGCTGTAGTTGAGAAACTTTCACACTGACTTAGAATCAGCTGTTTGTTTCTTTAATGCTGTCAGTGTGTAAAACTCCCAATGAATGACAATTATTATTTCTAAGAAATGCAGATTGGTACAAAATGTTGTCAACATGTATATATAAGAAAGTTATTGTTCTTTCTTGTTGTTTACTTGTATGTAATCTGCATTGTTTATAGATATTTCAAGATAATGTGTGTCATTTAAGGTATCTATTACAATTTCCATACCAGTAAAAAACAAAAAGAAAAAACCTCTCAAATATTTTTAATGACAGATGTTAGGATAACATTGGAATACTTTACTAACAAATATTCTTATCTACAGATATCAGTATAGAGTGCTTTGAGAAGGCCAAGCGACACCAGGCATTACTTCCCTTAAACTCTCAACGTGGCTTTTGTGTGCTGTATTGTGGGTCTCGTCCATATTATGTTTCCTCTCGCACAACACGCAGTGTATCTCCTGTTAAAGACTCAAATGAGAGAACACGGACATCAGTAGCAAACACTGCCGTAACGCGGAATACGTCTCCTGTCAGGAGTCATCGTATGACAACAAATAGCACACCTGTGGTCGTAGGACCAACATCAGGGGCTGCTGGGAATAAATCAACTGAGACTAATGTTAAGGAGTGTACCCCACAGATAATGGTATCCAAACCAACCACTGAGGAATTAGTGGCACTGAAAATGACTCATGCAGGTGGAAATACAAACAAAAATAACTCTATGGAAAGTGATGCTCAAGTGATGGAAGAAACACAGGGAACAACTAAACATTCTAAAGATGAATCTGTTGATACCAAAGATACACCTTCTAATAGCACTAAAAACACGACCACGACAGAATCGGCCCTCAAAAACACAGCAGCAACAAACGTGGCTACCAAAGACTTAGCTACAAAAGATTTGACTACAAAAGACTCAGCCATGACAGATGGGGCTACCAAAGACTTAGCAACAAAAGATTTGACTACAAAAGACTCAGCCATGACAGATGTGGTTACAAAAGACTTAGCTACAATAGATTTGACTACAAAAGACACAGCCATGACAGATGTGGTTACAAAAGACACAGCCACAAAAAACACAACTATGAAAACAACTAATAATGATACAAGTAATAGGACATCCACAAAATCTATGGATGTTACAACTAAATCTGTTAGCAAATCTACAGTGAAGGTCGGTGATACTAAAAATAAGCCGTTCTCGCTTCGAACAAGTACCTCCACGAAGCCAACATTGTCATCAACAGCCAAAACCACAACATCAAGTGAAAATGTAAAGATTCCAGCTAGTGCTCCCATAAAAACAGTTGTCCTAACAACAACACTTCCCACACTGTCCCTGACAAGCTCCACTAGTTCTAATATACCAACTCAGCATGTGAAGATCTTTACATCTTCCAACAGTACTGCAGAAACACCCAAATCCACTTCTAAAGAGTCAGGCTCTACAAGTAGTGGTCATACATGGACTATTGGTTCCCAAGGTCTCCAGATGATTGGTCCAGAGTCAGCACTTACTACAAAACCAGCCATCTTGTTCCCCGGAATTGCTGGGGCAAGCTCTGCCTCCTCTGGCCATGGGGACACAACTCTGTCTACTTCTTCTATACTTGGGCAAAGTCAGAGCAGCACAACACTTTTACTTGGCTCAAATTTTCCTGGAACCACGGACAATGCCTTAGCACGTCCATCCTCAAAAATCACTCTGACTTCAGCACACAGGAGAAACAGAGATAAAGACAGACCTGACCGGGGCAACTAATGTTCTACTGCAGGAGTGACAAATCTTAAATTTACTGTAAAAGTACCTGATAGTAATCATTGCTAACTTTAAATCAATGAGTGTAGAATCATATATTTATATGCTATCACAAAGTGTATAGATTTAACAAAAGATACATTCCTACAAAATATTAACAGTTTGATTTTTCATACCTTTTTAAAGGTTAAAGAATATAAAACACAAGAGAAAAATTTTCTGTATATCACTAAATCCTATATTTTGAATGTAAATTCTATCAATCAATATTAGCCAGTTTTTCTGATTACTATATGGTACATTATATATTTGTTTCTGTAAACCTGCTCGATTTCATGATTTGTGCATTAATACATTTTGTGATTACAACTTATAGATAGTTATCTCCCTTCAATAGGGTTCTCATACACTTGTTATTGTTTCATAAAAATGAAATAATTTATTTTGTACAGAACCATTTGCTTAACTGTGATATTACACTTAGCTCCAGAGCCTGTTGTTTGTGTGGGAAAATATTTACTGTTTATCTGCGATCATTTGAAGAATTAAATATGTTTACATGCATTTTTCTTGTTTTTACTTTTTAGTGTGATATATGTTATCAAACACATCAGACCTCTTGGATTTAATCTTATTGACATTCATATGGCAGATAAAGGTCAGTTGGTCTTTGATATAAGATTGTATGTACATAAACCTATACAGAACTAGTTGTTTCACACAAAATGTAGGACAAATTATATAATACACATCTGTTACTGTTAATGTGATAAGATACCAGTTTTAATTAACATTTATTGTGTTGTTGTCTTCACTGTACAGATAAATCATATCTATAAACAACATGTAGTAAATTTTAAATTTACTGTATAACCTCACTGCAGATTTTTCCTAGAGTTTTGACCTTATTGTAAGCATCACATGAACAGGGACTTATCACATCAAAGATCCCTGCTGTACCTGTAATTAAGCTTTATTGTACATTGAATTTTGTTGCATTGTGTCTGTGCTTTCAGAAGTGTGCCTAGTGTTTCTTACTTTGATAGAAGATGTTTGGGTAAAAAGGCTGTAATTCCATGTGGATATTCCTGATTAAATATATGGAATTTCATTTAAAGCACATTTTGAATTCGGTTATTTGCATGCCTTGATAAACTGTGATGTTTTGTACAGAATGTAAAATATACAATGTAATGGCATTAGGACAAAAACTGACTTTATATTGTACTACCACCTCACTCCAAGTTAACCATATTCCAATGTAAAATATGGTATTTATTTGTGAAGCATATTACTTGAATTTTTGATTGCATATAGTACATGGGTTTGTAAAACAATGATTTTAATCTGAAATGAAAATGTATTCCTTTATCTTTGTTATTTTAAACTTATCATTAGAAGGGATAAGGGTAGCTTTGAATGGACAGTGAGTAAAAATCGGCAAGGAGATGATGATGTGTACAATTTGTATTCTGTTAGATACAGCAACATTTTACATTGCTTTAACAAAGGTATCAGACTGGCTGTCTTACCTCACTAATATAAACATCAACACATTCACTGGAAGTGAGGTTCTTGCTTGTCTATGTATGTTTGTTAAGGAGATATTGGGTGATTTTTAGGTCACCTGACACAAACTTTCGGGATGTTCAGTGTCATGCATTGTGAATGTGTTGTAAACTTTTAACATTTTCTACTTCTTCTTGATAACTCCTGAACCGATTTCAATGAAATTTAAACAAAATCATTTCTAAAACCATTGTGACTCAGGTGACCATTTGACCCTTTTTTTGTGTCTCTTGTTTTAATGAGCAGTATCTATTTAATTATATATTATCCAAGCAACTGTGATTTAAGATTCTGTTTCAAATAATCTGTTTAGACAATTCAAAACCATAATGCATTACGTACATCTACCTTGGGAATGGTAATATATAACATCTACCTTGGGAATGGTAATATATAACATCTACCTTGGGAATGGTAATATATAACATCTACCTTGGGAATGGTAATATATAACATCTACCTTGGGAATGGTAATATATAACATCTACCTTGGGAATGGTAATATATAACATCTACCTTGGGAATGGTACTATATAACATCTACCTTGGGAATGGTAATATATAACATCTACCTTGGGAATGGTACTATATAACATCTACCTTGGGAATGGTAATATATAACATCTACCTTGGGAATGGTAATATATAACATCTACCTTGGGAATGGTAATATATAACATCTACCTTGGGAATGGTAATATATTCTTGAATTACTGTGAACTATGAAATCTTCACTCATCATTAACACATTGTGTCATTTCACACTATACATTGTTTTTGATAAATTACATAGATACCAATTGAATGCTGTATTAGTCATGATGGCACAAACAGCTATAATATAACCTAAATACAATGCATTGATAAAACACTATACTATTTATATATATCTCTGTGTTATCAAATATTGTGTAGTTGTGACATAACAAGTGCCTTAAACACAACTGATGAAAAATTAATCTAATTTCAAAAGCAAAACTCTTGAAATTAATAGTTTGATTCACAAGATATTTTAATGAAAAATTAATTAGTAAGCGAATAACTTATTGAGAAATGGATCAGTTGAACAGCATCATCAAGACTGCCATATAATATGAAAAAAGTTAGGAGCAGCAGATTTTCCAGTCTAGGAATGATAATGTTTCAAGTGTACATCATCAGTTAGGATATAAAGTGCTTCAAATTTACCTCCTTTGTCAGTACTTATTTCAGCGTGTGATTCATGTTTATATATAGTTGTCTATTAGCTATTGTTTGTAATCCCTGTTAAAATGCAGCAGGATTGTGTGACCAAAATTCCAAACTTCCTCAGGAGTTATAATGGAAACTACCTTACATTTATTATGTTTACTATAAATGGATTTTCAGATGCACTGCTTTAAGTTGAGTTTAGTAAAATTTATTTTTTATGATTTTCTCAGCATTATGTTATTCTAGATGTTGTTTTCCGTGATATGTTATAATTACTGAAATAATAAAATACTGCAAAAATGATTTACTTCTGTTGTTTTTTTAATATCATCATATTTCATTATGGAATGCAAATCTAGCCACAGATGAAAATAGGTACCCGAGGTACTTAACCCTATAACCAGACTAACTTTGGAATTGTAGACTTAGAAGAGGAAAGTATTGGTATATCCAATGAAGTTTAAAATGTAGCATGCTTAACAAGGGTCAATAATAAACAGATTCATAATTTTACAAGAAGATCCTTTCAGTAGTTCTTCAGGAACAGCAGTAACAGACTTTCAATGGCAAAATTTAAAATGGCAGTTGGTAGCCAACTTGAATATCTTGTGAAGCTCAAAATGTTCCACTCACAATGTGCACAAATATCAAACAAGTTTTATTCCACAATTTGAATGAAATTTCTTCTACAATTCTTCATAAAAACAGAAACCATCTTTAAATGTCAAAATTCAAATGGAGACTGTCAAAGTGTGGCATGTGAAGAACCATGATGCTATTGTGTCTACAAAGCTTAAATCAGCAGTTAATCAGGGCATCAAGAAAGTGTTTAGGGCACAGATGGAGTACACATGATGATTAGAAATGCCTACCATTTGATATGTTTAAAATTTCAACAATGGAGAATTTGACAAGATTCTTCTTATGGGGCCTTATAATGATGTTGGACAACAAACTGATTGACCACTGACCTCTTATGTTTCAGGGTTACCGCTTTAGCAAACATTCAGATTTTAAGTAAATAGCTTTAACTCAACTCTGTATGTAATTAATCTTCGATTTAATAATGATACAAATTTTTATACAAATGTATGTATGTTTGTTTGTTTGTTTGTTTGTTTATAGTGTATTATGTTTATGTCTGACCAACCTGTTGTCTTGGGAGAAGACTTATATAGGCTCTAGCCTGCTATCTAATCCTCTTGATTGTTTATATCAATAAAATACTCTGAAATGAAATCTTTGTGAATGGCCCACTATCTGATGAGGGCAATGATAGTAGGGTTTATCATCAACAATAAATTATAACTGAAATATTTCTTCCATTGCTTGACTTAACCGTAACCAATATGGAGCCAAACACTATAATTAACAAGACAATTTTGATGAGTCATTTTTCAAATCATTTATTAACCAATCAAAAAGCAATGATTGTGTAACTTCAAGGAACAAGTATTATGTGGTGAAATCATGTGAGATAAATGCAAAATCAATCCTGTAGATTTCTGGCTTTATGTCATACTTACAATCAACAATAAACACACAAGAGGATTTGACCCGACAGTGTAAACCAATAAGATGTCATCCATTTAATCAATACCAAATAGCATGAAAATATGAGCATGCAACTACCCTGCTTTATGCTGAAATTCTGAAAACAGCTGGACCCCATAATTTGCTGAATATTCTGCAGTCCAGCCTTGGTTATGATCTGTACGAAACACTTCTCTTGTAGGTTCAACTGGTCAAACCATTTCAACCACTTGCGCGATCTTTGTTATTGTTTAGTGGAGAATGGTATCCATTCTGATCATTTCTTATCTTCTAAATTTCTTATTCCTATAGATAAACATGCCTTGTAATTTATTTCTGTATATAGATATACATCCCATGTCCTTATTCCCACTGTCTATAGATATACATCCCACGTCTTTATTCCCACTGTCTATAGATATACATCCCACGTCTTTATTCCCACTGTCTATAAATATACATCCCATGTCTTTATTCCCACTGTCTATACTGTCTATAGACATACATCCCACGTCTTTATTCCCACTGTCTATAGATATACATCCCACATCTTTATTCCCACTGTCTATAAATATACATCCCATGTCTTTATTCCCACTGTCTATAGATATACATCCCACGTCTTGTAGGTTCAACTGGTCAAACCATTTCAACCACTTGCGCGATCTTTGTTATTGTTTAGTGGAGAATGGTATTCCACTTCTGATAGA